ACACACACACACACACACACACACACACACACACACACACACACACACACACACAGCATGAATCCCCAGGTGTCTGTTTATTATTAACACATTAACACTTTACACTTCTTGTCACTGTTCAACATCAACAGCACGTCTGATTTTTTTCTCATCCAAATGGAAACACGAGTTCATTACAGCACTTCAAATACACGTTCCCATAACACTAAACACAGGGATGATGAAAATCCAGTTCAATAACAGCTGTGGTGATCAAACCAACATGAATGCCGACTAACGGCTGACTAAACCTTAAATCTCAGACATACTCAGGAGTTGGAGATGCTGGACGCTGATTTCAAACCATTAAATAAAAGGCTAAAGAAACAAAGGACAGTCCTGAAGTCTATATGTGATATTATCTTCCAAGCTTTGAAACAATCAGAGGTGACGGTACAGAGTTTGGACAGTTCCCTCTTTAACTGGTTTACAGCAGGAAACAGAGACGGAGCAGGTTACAGCCATACACTAATTCAAACCAAACATTCACTTTAAAAGCTGCAATGAGATTATGATTCTAATGCTGATATCACATTGTTAAAGATGCTTTAATCCTGGAATACGTGACCTGTGAAAACACTCATCCCAGCTGAGGTGTTGTCACTGCAGGAGCAGGATCTTCAGTGGGTTCCCAGTGAAAACTCTCCCAATAATCACGGTCTGCGTGGAATCAGTCCTGAGAGTGCAACAGCTCGACTCACAGCAACAAAAAGCTCAACGTGCTGTTTCATGTGCAACAACAGCCTTAGTTTGTGATCTAAACTCTCAAAGATGGAGACGTGCATGTGCATAAAGTCTCCTTTGATATGTGAGCATGTGTGACTGAACTGGCAAAGTATGTGACAATGCATCACAGGTGATGTACGGGGACTAAAAACAAATGCTTGTTTAAAAAGTTAGAATCAAACGGTGAGAACCTCGTCACTGTGTAAGATGGACACTTACAGGAATGAACACAGTTGTGATCGAGCAAAGAAACATCGCAAAATATCTGGCAAAGCCGACTGGATGTTGTCTCACTGAGTCAAAGTTACAAAACCTACATTCTGTATTTCCAGTCAGCCAAAGCATTTATCATGAGATGTACCATGTGATAAGAGATCTGACATATGTACAGCGGAGTAGTGCTCCACCACTGGGGAACCAAATATTCATACTGAGCTTAATCAGTTTAAATTCATTTAGGGTGTAAATGAGCGATCGCAGCGCCGCCCGATGTTAGGGCCAGATTTAGTGCTAGTGTGAAACCTTCTGCTGGGGTTCACCAAAGAGGGCAAAGCTCCATGTTCACATACGAAGCTGCCATCAGATTATTTCAATGATTACCTGCAAAGAGCAACACAGACGACTGGAGCGAGGTGTGTCCTCACAGAAACAATACAGTGTAAGCACAGGTTTTACACACATCTGTGTGAAAGCAGCAAAGCAGCTGATGAATGAGAGCAGGTGGGGCTCGGGTGCAGCTCGGGTGGAGCTGGTCTCCAAGGATAGAAAGATGATCCAGGGAGCAGTGAGCTGTAAGCAGCATGTGAGAACTAATGACGACAGTCACACAGACAGACGACTTTATGTCCTTAAATCCAGCGAGACGCGATCATTTATTTACGTTTGATTGTATATAAACTTGTGGGCGACCGATGATGCACCTCTGCATACACGTAACTGCTGCATATGAAAATATTCTTTTGTTCAGCTTGATTTGACCTTTGTGAAAATGTTTGGACTGATTGTGTGATATCTGTGTTTCAGTCTAAATGCAAAGACCAGGTTTGTGGGTTATAAGCCCAGGAGTACGCTTCACTTCACAGGGACTAAACTACAGCTCATACACAATAAAGCTTCACAAAGTGCCACCAGGGGGAGACAAAACACTGCACTGGGGCTCATGCACGGCCACACAAACACAGAGGCGGGATCACTGAAGACTGTGCTGGATGGGCCGAGGCCCGATCACTCGTCGAATCTTCCCTCCAGGATGCTCTCGAACGAGAAGGGGACAAACTTGAAGCCCTGGCCCGAGTAGAACTTGTTCTGGAACTCAACCCTGAAAGAAAAAGAGAGAAGACTGTTTGGTTAAATATCCACACAAGCATGTATGAAAGTTGTCCCGTTAAAGCCTTTTTAAACTAGTCAGAAGCTCCACATGTCTCCAGCGTGTACACCCCAGAGCTGGTTCCTGCCGCTTGTTTTAGCCCCGCCCACAGAGGCTGTTTCTGTACTTGTGGCTTTAAATGAAACAAGCCGCTGCTGCCCACACCCTTTCCAGTGCTCTGCCTTTCCAGCCATTCCCAGCAACGGAAAAGAAGATAAAACTCAAATTGGGAGTTTGGATTGAACCTAAATGCAGACACAATGTTATTTATATAGCAACAGTGCACAGCAACAGTCATCTGAAACCCACAAGCAGCACTTTGTGATGTTGATCAGTTACAGCAGGAGGAGGAAAGAAGTATTTATGTGTTATTATCAAAGCAACCTCAGTGGGAGGAGAGTGGACGAGAAGCGATCTGAGTTTTATTTGGGCTCTAAAGTCAGTGACAGTTTGGTCAGAGATGATGAATGACCCGACCAATCAGGTCCGAGGGCGTTCTCACAGCTACAGTTCGTTTACTTTGGTCCAAATCAGCTGATGAGTTTGTAAACTTGTAGCGTTGTAGTTGCACACTTCACTTCCTGCCTAGCTCCTGGAGTTTGTTTGGAGCCGTACCATTTTCACTTAGGGCTGTACTCATTAATGTCTGTGTGTAGAGTTATTTTGAGGGAACAGCAAGTTGACACTGTTACACAAGCTGCACACTGACTACTTTACATTGTATCAAGTGTCATATCTTCAATGTTGTGATGAAAAGATATAACAAAATACTTTTTCTCACTTTTGTGAGATACAGCGTGTACAGGGACGTTTAAATGGAGGAACACGCCCTCAGCTCATCCATTATTGAGACATTTATGATGAAGCAATCAGGTGCATCAATAAGCTGACAGCCAAAGCCATTGTTCCAGAGACAACTCCTTTTCCAAACATATTCTTCATGCACATCGGCTCTGTTTTAATCTGGGACCTTCTGGTGTGGTACCGGTACAATCGCTCCATTGCTCTGACTGTTGCAAACAGAACACACTGCAAAGAAGTCTAGAAACCTGCAGCACGTGTATTGTTTGACCTCAGAGCTTCAGAACATCACTTCTGTTCAGGACAAAAAAAAAGTGAGGATGATAAAATTCATCTGGCCGTGTGTGTGAGGCATTCCAGTAAACCTTCCCACATAGCCGCTGAATTATTCCCTGACCAGCAATGTGAAAAGGATGATCAAAAGTGTGTGTGTGTGTGTGTGTGTGTGTGTGTGTGTGTGTGTGTGTGTGTGTGTGTGTGTGTGTGCGCGCGCGCGCGCTCTACAGGCTTTAAAATAAAATGATGAAGCAGGTCAGTTCGAGATTTCATGTGTCTGATACTTGGAGTTTAAAGCATTTAAAGCACATGATTGTGAAATAAAACTGCTAGAAGGACCTGACGGTTCACTCCGTGTGACTCACCTCATTACAGTCTGTCACAGGCTGACTCAGTATCCAACCAGCCGCTGTGTTTTTTCCACAGTTAGGATTCTGAAAGCCTCCGGCCTTGACAACCCGTGATGACTTCATTTAAGAGGAAAAGCTAAGATGGTTGCTGGCCTCGGTCAGCGAGGGAGTGCCCAGGAATGTTTCCCGGCTGTGGCAAATATTTGGCCTTCCAGAGATGTGAGAGGGCAACACTTAAACAGAGGAAAGAAACGAGCGCTCCTCTCATCTGCCTCGCCACGCTGCCGTGGAAACAGATTCCTGAGCCTAACGTGCGCGACGCTTTATGGACTGTGGTGTGTTTGTGCAGACAGCTCATCAGAATGTGTGTGTGAGGCGTGAACAGCTCAGGGGAACATGGAGGCTCACTTTGAACATCATCATTTCCACTCAGTCACTCAGCTGTGTGAAAAATACTCCGGTGCTCCTTCTGAAGCTTACAGAGGTGTGCTGAGCGACACACTGACGCTTCATGAACCTTCACTGTGTGTCCCTGTGGGTGATTGAATAAGAAATATCTGAAGTTGCTCCAGACTTAGATACGAACAAAAGTGATGTACAGACATGGCCCAGGATGCAGGAGAAACACAAAACATCACAAACACCAAACCTCTGACTTGTTCATCGCCCGTCCAACACTAACTGTGGCTGAGCGTGGGGAGGTCGATCCAACGTTAAATCCACAATTTCACATTCAGTCCTCTTCCACAACCATCTCCTGCTTCTTCCTTCTCCCATCTGTGGATAAAACCCTGAGATACTTGAACTCCTTCACTTGGGGCAGCAAATCCACTCGGTGGGCGGTCCACTGAGGACCACAGCCTCACTAGTGCTAACGCAGTACTCGGGTGTGAACCGCCCACTGTGACCAAGAGGTCATCAGTCAACAGAAGCATCCGTCTGAAACAAGTCCGACTCACTGCAGGACACCACACACACTGCAGACAGCAGACAGCATAGTTTGAGGAACTTTCAGCAGATGCTGTGACGTTACTGTCAACCCTTCTGGGGATGATACTCGTGCACGACTGCCTTAAACACCTAAAGTAACTGAACATCATGATGTGTACCGTTCAGACATGCTGGGAAACAACGCGTTTCTGTCACGTATCCTGCTGAACAAACTCTCCGTGTACGAGTCGCGCAGCCAGAAGTGCCAACTTTGTAAGAAACATTCATTGTTGATGGACGAGGTCCAACAGATACCTTTGCCATACCATACCTTTGCTATAACAGGTCACATGAGCCAGCCAGACACACACACACACACACACACACACACACACACACACACACACACACACACACACACCCCAGCCTACATGCTT